TTTAATTGGGTTTATTAGAGTTTTAGTGTCTAGTTTCTTGAGTTCTTTGAATATTTTGGAGATCAGGCCTTTATCTGATGAGGGGTTGGTGAAGATTTTCTCCCAGTCCGAAGGTAAACTTTTTGTCTTACTGACGGTGTCCTTTGCTTTACAGAAACTTCTCAGTTTCAGGAGGTCCCATTTATTCATTGATTCTCTTATTGTCTGTGCTTCTGGGGATCTACCTAGGAAGTGGTCTCCTGTGCCTATATCTTGTAGACTACTTCCCACTTTCTCTTCTATCTGGTTCAAAATGGTAAGATTAGTGTTGAGGACTTTAATCCATTTGGACGTGATTTTTGTGCATGGTGATCAATATGGATCTTCTTACATTCTTCTACAGGTTGACATCCAGTTATGCCAGCACCATTTGTTAAAGATGCTTTCCTTCTTTCATTGCATACCTTTAGCTTCCTTGTCGAAAATCAAGTGTTCATAGGTTTGTGGGTTAATATCTGGGTCTTCTATTAGATTCCATAGGTCGACTTCTCTGTTCTTATGCCAGTACCAAGCTGTTTCCTATATTGTAGCTGGGTAATAGAGTTTGAAGTCAGGGACAATTATACCTCCAGAAGTTCCTTTATTATATAAGATTGCTTTGGGTATCCTGAGTTTTTCCATATAAAATTGATTATTATTCTCTCAAGGTCTGTGAAGAAGTTTGATGGGATTTTGATGGGGATTGCATTGAATCTATAGACTGCTTTTGCAACAATTGCCATTTTTACTATGTTGAACCTCCCAATCCAAAAGCAGGTGGGATCTTTGCATTTTTTGGTATCCTACTCAATTTCTTTCTTCAAGGACTTAAAGTTCTTGTCAAATAGGTCTTTCACTTCCTTGGTCAGAGTTATCCCAAGATATTTTATGCTATTTGTGGCTATGGTGAAAGGTGAAGTTTATCTGATTTCCTTCCCTGCTTCTTTATCCTTTGTGTATAGGAGGGCAACTGATTTTTTGGAGGTTGATCTTGTATCCTGCCACATTACTAAAGGTGTCTATCAGCTGTAGGAGTTATTTGGTAGAGGTCGCTCATGTATCCTATCATATCGTCTGCAAATGACGAGAGTTTAACTTCTTCCTTTCCAATTTGAATCCCCTTGATCCCCCTATGTTGTCGTATTGCTATTACAAGAACTTCAAGCACTATATTAAAGAGGTATGGGGAGAGTGGACAGCCTTGTCGTGTTCCTGATTTTAGTGGAAAGGTTTTGAGTTTCTCTCCATTCAATTTGATGTTAGCTGACGGCTTGCTGTATATTGCTTTTATTATATTTAGGTATGATCCTGGTATCCCCAATCTCTTCAACATCTTTATCATAAAGGGGTGTTGAATTTTGTCAAATGCTTTTTCAGCATCCAATTAAATGATCATATGGTTTTTTCTTTAAGTTTATTTATATGATGGATTACATTGATAGATTTGTGTATGTTGAACCAGCCCTGCATCTCTGGGATGAAGCCTACTTGATCATAATGGATAATTTTTCTAATGTGTTCTTGGATTCGGTTTGCCAGGATTTTATTGAGAATTTTCACGCTGATGTTCATGAGTGAGATTGGCCTGTAATTCTCTTTCTTGGTTGTGTTTTTATGTGGTTTTGGTATCAGGTTAACTGTAGCTTCATAAAAAGAGTTTGGCAATGACTCCTCTGTTTCTATATTGTGAAATACCTTAAGGAGTATAGGTATCAGCTCTTCTTGGAAGTTCTGGTAGAATTCTGCATTGACACCATCTGGCCCTGTGCTGTTTTTGGTCGGTAGGTTTTTGATAACAGCTTCTAATTCTTCGCGACTAACAGGTCTATTTAGATTGTTCACCTGGTCTTGATTTAATTTTGGTAAATCGTATTTATCTAAAACCCAATCCATTTCTTGTACATTTTCCAACTTTGTGGCATATAAACTTTCGTAGTAAGATCCTATGATTTTCTGAATTTCCTCTGTGTCTGTTGTTATGTCCCCCTTTTCATTTCGGATCTTATTAATTTGAGTGTTCTCTCTCTGCCATTTGATTAGTTTGGCTAGGGGTTTTTCAATTTTGTTGATTTTCTCCAAGAACCAACTTTTTGTTTCATTGATTTTTTGGATTGTTTTCTTTGTTTCTAGTTTGTTTTTTTCAGCCATCATTGTGATTATTTCCAGTCTTCTACTCCTCCTGGGTGAGTCTGTTTCTTTTTTTTCCAGAGCTTTCAGGTGTGCTGTTAAGTCTCCAATGTGTGCTTTCTCCGTTTTCTTTAATTGGGCACTTAGTGCTATGAACTTTCCTCTTAGCACTGCTTTCATTGTGTCCCATAGGTTTGAGTATGTTGTGCCTTTATTTTCATTAAATTCAAGGAAGACTTTAATTTCTTTCTTTATTTCTTCCTTGACCCAGGGATGATTCAGTAGTTGACTGTTCAACTTCCACGCATTTGTAGGCTTTCTGGTATTTGAATTGTTATTGAATTCTAACTTTATTCCATGGTGATCTGACAAGACACAGGTGGTTACTAATATTTTTTGTATCTGTGTAAGTTTGCTTTGTTACCAAGTATGTGTTCAAAAGGTCCCATGAGCTGCAGAGAAGAAGGTATATTCTTTCCTATTTGGGTGGAATGTTCTGTAGATATCTGTTAAGTCCATTTGATTCATTACCCCTAATAATTCTCTTATTTCTCTGTTGAGTTTCTGTCTGATTGACCTGTCCATTGGTGAGAAAGGTATGTTGAAGTCTCCTACTATTATTGTGTGTGGTTTGATGACTGCCTTGAGTTTTAAAAGTTTTTCTTTTACATAATTGGGTGCTTTTATATTAGGGGCATAGATATTCAGGATTGAGACTTCCTCCTGATGAATTGTTCCTGTTATGAGTATGAAATGTCCATCTCCATCTCTTCTGATTGATTTTAGTTTGAAGTCAATATGTTCGGTATTAGAATGGCGACACCCACTTGTTTTTAGGTCCATTTCTTGGAAAACCTTTTCCCCAACCTTTTACTCTGAGTAGATGTCTATCTTTGTGATTGAGGTGTGTTTCTTGTTAACAGCAGAATGTTGGATTCTGTTTTCGAATCCATTCTCTTATTCTATGCCTTTTTATAAGTGAATTGAGTCCATTAATATTAAGTGATATTAATGACCAGTTGTTGTTGATTCCAGTTTTTTTTTGTGTGTGTGTGTGTGTGTGTAGTTGAGTTTGTGTGTTTCTCTTCTATGAGTTGTGGTTGTGAAGGGTCGTTAGATGTCTGGGTTATTGTAGGCAGTGTTATGAATGTTGGATTACTTGGGTTACGATTTTCCTTCTATTACTTTCTGTAATGCTGGATTTGTGGCTACGAATTATTTAAATTTATTTTTATCTTGGAATATTTTGTTTTCTCTGTTGATAGTGAATGATAGCTTGGTTGGGAATAGTAATCTGGGTTTGCATCCATGGTCTCTTAGTTTCTGCAGTACCTCTATCCAGAACCTTCTGGCTTTCACAGTTTCCATAGAGAAGTCCGGTGTGAGCCTGATAGGTTTACCCTTATAAGTTACTTGATCTTTTCCTTTGCAGCTCTTAATATTCCTTCTATAATCTGTATATTTTGTGTTTTGATTTTTATATGGTGAGGGGATTTTTTTTTGATCCAGTCTATTTGGTGTTCTGTATGCTTCTTGAACCTTCATAGGAACGATTCATAGAATCGTTCTTTAGGTTGGGAACGTTTTCTTCTATACTTTTGTTGAATATATTTTCTGGGCCTTTGATCTGCAATTCTCCTTCTTCAATCCCTATTATTATTAGATTTGGTATTTTTATTGTGTCTCAGATTTCTTGAATGTTTTGTGCAGAGAATTTGTTGGATTTACCGTTTTCTTTGATCAGAGCGTTTATTTTCTCTATGGTATCTTCAGAATCTGAGATTCGTTCTTCTATCTCTATTATTCTATTGGTTATGCTTGATTCTGTAGTTTCTGTTCTTTTACCTAGGTTCTCCATATCCATCCGGTTCTCGGTTTGTATTTTCTTCATTGCCTCATTTCAGTTTTCAATTCTTGAACTGTTTTCTTTACCTGTTTGATTGTTTTTTCTTGGTTTCTCAGGGTATCATTCACGGCTTTACTCATTTCTTCCAACTTTTTGTTATACTTCTCGTCCATTTCTTTACTCATTTCTTCAAACTTTTTGTTATACTTCTCATCCAATTCTTTAAGGGAGTTATTCATATCCTATTTAAGGGACTCTATTGCTTTCATAATGGCACCTTTTTCCAGTTCTTCTGAATTAAGGTGTTCAAGCCCTTCTATTGTAGGGTCGTTGGGATCTGGTGTTTTCTTGTTGTTTTTCAGATTGTTGGAGGAGGTCTTGCCTTGGCGTCTGCCCATCTCTTCCTTCAAATGCTCTCTATTGGATCATCTGGTACCAGGTTAGGTTCCCTTGTTGGGCAGGGACTTCACTGACAGAAGGCCTACCTTTCCTCACGCATGCTATTGAAACACAGGGACTCCTTCCTTCCGGGTTGCGCCTATTGCCCAAGCCCAGTGCGCAAGGCAGCTGAGCTGGGGAAATTTTATGGCCCCAGGGGAAGGGAGAAATACAGGAATGTGTACCTGGATGGAAGCTGGGATGGCAGGCGGGAGACCTTAGCAGGGTGGAGCCACTACTGCAGGTTGACCTGGGAGTCTAGGGGGTCGGGGAAAGTCTGACCTCTTCCTCGCCGGGCTCCTGCCATGGGCCAGAAGCAAACATACCCCTCCGATGGCTGTCTGCTAGAAGTCAGTGCCCCTTGCTGGTCAGGAATGTCGCTGAACTGACACAGGCCATTTAAAATTTTTTAACAGTAGATAAACAAGGTCTATCAGCAATGGAGAGACAATGGCAGAAACCTTCCCAATCTCTGGGTTGGGTTAAATGGAAGGATAATATCACAGGACAATGGCAATCACCCACACGATGCTGGCTAGGGTGAGGGGGGCCATTTGTGTCTTTCCTCCAGGAACCAAAAAACCCATCTGGGTGCCGGAGCAGAATGTTTGGCCAGTGGAGCCAGGTCCTACTGGCCCTGATAATATGGATTCAAGTGAAGAACATCGAGGAAGCCCTGAGATTTGCACTGGTGAGGAATCCACCCATACTGATGCCAGTAAGTCAAATAAGCTCTGTTTTTCCATCCTTTTATTCTACCAATTATACATTGGGAATTCCTGCAGCAAATGCAGAATTAGAAAAATCTTCATTGGGCAATTTAACGTTTGATATATCCCATGCCCTCTGCTTCTGGAAGAGTAGCAATATTTCAGAGATACCTAGTATCTCTCTTTCTGGACCATGTGTTGTCCTTAGTAATTATTCTCTGAGAGACTTTTCCTCTAATTCTTCTGGGCATCCTTGTTTTGGATTGAGAGATATCTTTTACCCAATAAATTTTAAAAGAAATGTTTCTGGACTTCCAACTCCTCCGAGACCAACTCCCTTATGTTGGAAGATGCCACAATCATTCAGATTGTACTTACCATTATCTTGGGGAAATTGTGCTCCTAAGGAACCATGGAAATTGGAGGGAGATAAATATTTATGGTGGTTTGGTCACCGACCTACCTTTAAAAACTCCTTGAGAGTGGTCTTTGATTATTCCTATAGAAATCCAAATATGTCAGAAGTTTCACCTACATTTGCAGGCATGTTTCTCTGCAGCCCTTGTGCATGTACAGATATTAGGCCTTTAGCCCTTCAAAGGGGCTTTGTTTTCAATGCTACAGCCAGATGGAACACATCAGACATCTTTGAAACATCTCTCCAGATTAATTATGCAGCGGGAATGAATTTCTCTATTGTCAGTCTAGCTTGTGTTCTGCCTCCCTTCTTGTTTGTCTCCTTTAATGGGTCGGTCGGGGAGGACGGTGTCCTTGTATGTTCTTCCAGCTCCTGCTTCTTGAGCAACTGCTGGTCCGAACGGATGAGTCTGTGCTGATGGTGAGAATTCCTGCTCTGGTTCCCCTGGTGGTAGGAGACCCACATGATGGATGAGAGCTTATCTTGTATCGAGAGAGAAGAGACTTTGGGATCACCGCCGCAGTCATCGCAGCTATCATCATATCAGCCACAGCCGCCCCTGTTGCAGGAATCACCGTGTACCAGAATGCAGCTACTGCAGAGACTGTTAACACTCTTGCTGCCTGTGTTACCCAGGACTCAAAATACCATTGACTCACATATTCAATTGGGGATGTTAAATTTAAATCAGCAAGCAGCCTTATTGCAGGAACATATTAATGTGTTGTGGATGGTGCAACAAGCCTCTTGTTCTCATTTTTATCATTCTGCCTGTGTGACCCTTATGGAAGTGAAAAATATGTCCTTTGAGGTGCAATGCCTTAATGCTTACCTTAGGGGGCCTTGGAATGATTCCTTTGTAAACTTTACCCACTCTTTGGTACATCAGATTATTGCAATTAATGAAACTCGTGTTAAACCTGTATCTGCTGAGGGATGGTGGAATGCCTCAGATTGGGGGTTGGGCACAGCAATGGGGAGGTGCCTTGTCCCTGGGAATCTTGGGACTAGTAGGGGTGGCAGTAGGCCTGCTCTTTTAAAATGAGTCCTAAACACCTTCACCACAACTGAGCTTATCCACCATCAGGTGTTGCTCAGTCTGGCCCATGACTCTCCTGGAAGTCATGAGGTATGGCTGCAGATGCTGAAAAAATGAGGGTCTCCAAGGATGGACAACCTGTGAGGAGATCCCCCACCTAAGACAGGGCATCGGGGGCCCTATGACAGGTAAGGGAAGGTACTTCCCTCACAGGACCTAAGACAGGACCCCTCATTATAAAAAAATAGTAGGGGGAATTGTGGGAATTGCTGCCCTGAGTTACATTTCCCTGCCCCCATTTGAGGTGCTCATCTGCAAAGAAAACATAATAACTTCCCTCTGCTCCTGGATTTGGATAAGGAAGTTTGAGTGCACATGATTCACGTGATCATTCCTTGATCCCTACTGGGGTCAGGTGAAGGCTGAGAGCACGTGATCAATCCTTGACCCCTACTGGGGTCAGGTGACAGTCCCTGCTTGGGTCAGGTGACAGTCCCTCCTGGGGTCAGGTGACAGTCCCTCCTGGGGTCAGGTGACAGTCCCTTCGCAGCCCACTCCTCTTTTGGTGCCATGGTATAAAAGCTAGCCCCAGCAGAACAATAAAGAAGTTGCTGTTCCTCCTCAACCTCGTGCTTTGTGGATTCATTCAACCTGGACACCCTCCGCCAAGACTCGTGGTTCCAGACCATGCTGGCACGGTATTTGAGCAGTTTCATGTCAGGTTGCAAAGGCATCTGACCATCCAGAGAGTGAATTTATACTAAAATCTATACTAAAAGATTTTTGTAACCATATTTGTCAGGTTTTTCCTCAGTGAAGTCTGTCTCCCATGGAAACCGGGTTTGGAGCCTCTGTTTCTGGGATTTTTAGGTTGATTGTCTGCATTGGTGAGTTGGAAGGCTAGACATTTTTCAGCTATTTGTTTAATCTTATGCTGAAGGTGAAAGGTTTTTAAATGAGAATGCCTGATCAGGTCTTCTGTTTTTTTGGGTGCCAAGGTGGGTGGACAGAGTGGTGAATGTGATGAAGGAGAGTTCTACTAGCTTTGCGGGCAAGATGAGTCTTGTAGGTCCAGTCATCCACCATTTCATTGACTGTTGTGGTTGCCATGCTCTTGCTAAGTGCTGTATCATGCTTAAGTCAGCAGGAGAATAGGCTGGATCCACCAGGAGCTTAGGTAATCCTGGTTCCAGTAATATCAGAGCCAGGACAGCTGTCTGCTCTGCAGCTTCCTTTAGTCACCTGATCTGCCCTCTGGTTCCCTCTAGCTGTTGGGGTATCAGCTCTTTGATGCCCAGGACAGTGGATAATGGCCGATTTCATTGTCAGCCATAATGCTGCCAATAAGTCTAAAATTTCTTGTTTGATTTGATAGTCTTTCCTTCAGCAATAAGGACCCAGCACTCCTTTTGACATCTATAGTGCCTTAGTAGAGGCTGTCAGTTCATCTTTTTGAGAAGATGTCCCAAATGGGAGGGCTATTGCCCATATAGTATCCTCACATGTCACCATAGTCACCCCTGCACACATTTTACCATCACATGTAAAAGTGCTCCCATCCATGTACCAGGTGAGCTCAGCATTTGGCAAGGGCTGATCTTGTAGGTCATTTCTCAGTCCACATACCTGGCTCATGATTCCTGCACAGTCATATAGTGAGGCATCCAGATCAGGAAGCAGAGATGCAAGATTTAAGGCCACATTCAGAAAAAAAAGGAAGAGTATGCAAGGTGGGTTAAGGAGGAGATTTTGATAGTGAGTCATGCAAACATTACTCGGCCATCATTCAGGCAGTTGAGCATTTCCTCTGTGGCATGAGGAGTGGTGATGAGGAACTCTTTAACTAAAGTCAACATGTCATCATCTTTAACAAATAGAGAGGTGGCTGAATGTTCCTTAGGCATGGGGGTCACCCTGCTGCCAATGGATTGAGTTTCTTTGAGAGGTAGGCTACTGGCCTATTCCAAGGTCGTATGGTTTGAGTAAGGACCTCTTTAACTATGCCCTTTCTTTCATCTATGTATATGTGAAAGGTTTTGGTGATATCTGCCAATCCCAGTGAATAGCATTGAAAGGAGGACTTTTTTTTATTTTATTTTATTGAAGGCTTTGTCTTCAGCCTTGGTTCCTTATAAAGGCTGGCTCTCTTTTATTGCCTCATTCAGTGACTTAGAAAGCTCAGCAAAGCTGGGAATTCAGAGAGGACAGAAGCCAGCTGACCCAAGGAATTCGCTAACTTCCCTCCTGGAAGCTGGGCTAGGTATTTTAAGCACAATGTCTTTACAGGCTTCAGAGAGTCAATGCTGTCCTCCCTTGAATATATATTTTAAATAAGTCACTTTGGTTTGGCAGATTTGCATTTTTAGCTGATGCCTAGTACCCCAGGTTTCCCAAGGCAGTAAGCAAATCATCAATGCTTACCTTGCACTCTTCTTCAGTGTCAGCTGCTATCAGGAGGTCATCCACATACTGCAGAAGAGTGACCTGTGGGCATATTCCCCGAGGTCCTCATGTAGGGCTTCGTCAAAGATGGTTGGGAAGTTTTTGAACCCTTGGGGGAGCCTGATCCAAGTCAATTGTCCAATGCATCTCTTTACAGGGTCATGCCATTCAAAGGCAAACAAGGACTAGCTCTTTGGGGCTAAGGGCATGCTGAAGAAAGCATCTTTGAGACCTAACACTGTGTACCAGGCCCGGGAGGGAGGAAGTGAGCTCAAACGGGAGTATGGATTCAGTACAGTGGGATGAATGTCCATAACCCTTGCGACTGACCTCCCTAAGGTCCTGTGCAGGCTGGTAATCATTCAGAGTTTGGCTTTTTAACAGGGAGCAAGGGAGTATTCCAGGCTGATGAGCAAGGGAAGAGGATTCCTAGTTTCGTGAAGTGCCTGATGTGAGGGTTCATGCCCCCATTGCCTCCCAGGATGCGGGGTAATGCTGCACCTGGTTGGATGTGGCATCAGGATTAAGCTCAATAAGCACTGGGGCTCAATATTTCACTAAGCTCACTCAACTGGTCTCTGCAAATGCCTCTGGATATTGGGCTAGTCATGTGGTCATATCCTGAGGGACAAGTGACAGCTCCTGTTATAATCTATATTCATCCTCAATAAGTTTCTCTTCTGCTCTGAGAGTTACCCTGGGCCTGGAGAGGGGGTCTGAACCCTGTCTCCCCTAGTCACTGTGGACACTTGATTCGACAGCCAGCACATGGCAGGAGTTGATTCTGAGTCATAGTCCTTATGTTTGCACTTTTGGGAACAATTCTTTGCCCAGTGTCCCATTTCCTTGCAATAAACACATTGATCGTTCTGCAGCCTAGGGTACTCTGTTGTGTGGGAGTCCTTACCTTGGCCTCTGGCTAGATGTCTAGGTGGCACCTTTTTCAATCTGGATCTTCTGCAGTGACTGCTAGAAGGATTCTTGCCAAATTTCAAGTCTGTTTCTCATTCTCTTCAGCAATGGCTCTCCTCTGTTTATCCTCTGGGGATTCTTGGTTGTTGTATGCTCTCTGAGCTACTGCTAACAGCTCCCAGATGTTCTTATCTGCAAGCCCATCTATCTTCTGTAACTTGTACTTAACATCAGGCATGGCCTTATTAATAAGGGTCTTATCATGGATGACTTATTCTTCTCAGCCTCAGGATATATAGGGAGTATGCCCTAAAGGTTTCCATAATCCATTCTAAGAAGGCCGAGGGAGACTGTCTTTTCTTGTAATGTTTTAATGACTTTGGCCAAATTGGTGTGCCCACACACAAGACCTCTCATCAGAACCTGACGGAAGACCTGGAGCCTCTCCTTACCTACTGCCAAAGTGCACGCCTTTAATCCCAACACTCAGGAGGCAGAGGCAGAGTATCTCTGTGAGTTCGAGGCCAGCCTGGTCTACAAGAGCTAGTTCTAGAACAGGCCTCAAAGCTACAGAGAAACCCTGTCTTGAAAAACAAAACCAAAACCAAAACAACAAACAAACAAACAAAACAACAACAACAGCAGGGAAAAAAAAAGAAATTCCAGTTAGGATGGGTCAGAGGGAAGGCTTGGTCTCTTGGCAGAGTTGACAGTTGGGTTCCCATCAGGTCCTGGGACCATCTTTTGGGCCTGGATCAGATTTCCCTCTTTCTTCTGTGGTAAATAGCACCTGCAACAACTGACTGCAAACTGCGCAGGTGGGATGATGAGTAAATATAACAAAATCTAGAAGGTTAATAAGGGTCCTCGGATTGTCTGAGAAACTGGGGTTTTTGTTTTTCTAGTTATAGAGATCACTAGCGGTGAAGGATCAACACTGTATCTGTTCATGCCCCTCATTACCCTGTGGGCCAACCCTTAGAGAAAGAGCAACAGAATCAACCACCCAGGGCAATT